GGCAATGCTGTAAGTTTGCAGCAGAAGAAGCCGTTTAAGGTGGTTCAGCATCAGATCACCATAGGAGTTTTCTCCATTATAGGAACCTACCGAAATGTGTCACGCAGAGTAACGCAGATTTTGCATTTATTTCCACTATTGTAAATGTCCACGTCTTAACACCTCAAGCATTAACATTACAAGCACTGTGTGTAAACACACAGCTGGCTGCGTGTGTGAGAGAGGAGCAGCCCCTCTCTCCTCTAAACAGAGACCGACAGAGAGAATATATGGGGGCGACAGTGGCGCAGTGGGTACAGTAGTCGTCTCCCAACCTGAAGGTTCGAAACTCGGTGCCTGCAGTCCATGTGTTGGGGGGTCCCTGGGCAAGACACTGAAGCCCCCGTTGCCCCTGATGGTTAGAGCCATTGGCTGAGTTGGCACCGCAGATGGCTGCCATCAGTTCTGTACCGGAAACAAATTCCTTGGGTGTAACATACTTGGCCAATAAAGGTTATTATCCTTATTCTTAAACAGTGGGAAAACAAAGCAGGATGGTCCACCTCAACCCCAGAGGCTATTCTTGGTGATAGTTAAGTAAGGCAAGTATGAGGTATACCGCTGGTTGGGTTCTAGTATAGTGGAAACGCAGCATGTGTTCTTGCCACCTCCCTGTAGTGGTATTCCAGGCTCGCCCAACAAGGAGGACACTCCAGGATAGCCCTGGAACATGCTGGGTGGATTACATATCCAATCTAGCCTGGGAACCACATGGGATACTCCTGGATCTTATGGAAGCATAAAAAAGTAGCTGGTGTCTCTTAGCTAATTATGAGGCTGTTAGAGAGTGACTGCAGCAGAGCAGTCTGCAGCACCCACATCCAATGCAAACACCTCATTATCCTACAGACCCCAACCAACCATATCAAAACCCTCTTAATTAGCAGTCAGAAATGACTGGTGAAAATAAACACTTAATTTCCAATGGCTCTTTTTGAGCAATTAGTGCCAAATTCCCTTTCATCCTCAATGAGCTGAACCAATAATAGATTTCATTACAGAATGCTCTCTGTCACCTTCTCTATCAGATGCTGGTGGAAGGGGGTGAGTTCTGCTGTCTAACAACTCACTCTTTATTTTGAAAACAGGTTTTTGTACTGTATCATCTTCCTGGCTTTGGATAAAAAAAAAAAAAAACCTGTGATCACTGATTTATCACCAAACATGAAGATAGCTTTAAAACGTTACTAAGAGAAACAGTCATGTCAGCACTGTCTACACTTTTGCCCTGTGTTCAACATCAGTGCTGTAAATCTGTACTTTGTCCAGTATGCTAAGATTTTATTAATAAAAGCAGCTCAAGGCTCTGTTTCATTGACTGCACTCCAATAAATTAAACATACTTGTCTAGACCTGAATTTCTCAAGCATTTATCCTTCCAGCTTAATTTCATACTTACTCATACAAATCTGCAATACAAAGGAGATGCACTGCATAAATTTAAAAAAAGATGACAATTTAGTATATCATGCTGCTGACAGATGAAAACCAACATCTTAGCAGGGAATATATCAACCTCATTTTTAGATTTGCTGCATTAGATTCTTCAGATTATTGAATTGCCCGACTATAATTTGGAAGGATCTTAGGCCTTGACTCTTGTTTCTTTGTAGTTCTCTGAAAATGTTACAGATTTGACTGAAACCCTTGGAAGAGGTCAGCCTGTGCCCAGTGATGACAAGATTTGGAAGTTCCATCATCAGGGACTTCACAGTCAGATAGTAAAATAAAAAGATCATAGCCCACACAACTACAGCATTGTCTTCATCAGGTAGTCTACATCAGGAATACCTGATGACAAAATGTCACCGGCGTGGCAGCTTGGCATGAATAAACATAATTTTTGGAGCATCAAATCAGTGTTGTGAGCTATAATCTTTTTATTTTACTAGTATTCCACCTTGGCCTACACACCTGATGCAAAGACTTTTCGGGGAGGTGTATGTACTTTTCACAATGTATTTACCTCATAGCCAGCTGCCATAGAGTATCAATCACCCACTTTTTCACATGAAATCAAGTTTTTAAAGAGGGAAATGGAAAGCAAGAATTGCCTAGTTTTTAGTGTATTTTGTAGTAATTTAGTGCTATTAAAGCATGAATCTGGTGCTGCCATGAACAGTCCTTCAGTATAATTACATTCTTTTGGGAACCAAGTAACTTTGATTAAACCAAACAACTTCTGATACACAGACACACAATAGCATTTTGTCACAAGAAAGAACCCCACTCCCCGCTTTTACTGATGGTTCAGTGTTGGTGGGGTATTCTAAGAAGCTCTGAAAATGTTAAGTTCCATTTGGATGTCATCCTCCATTCAGATATAAAACATACAAATCACATAAAATGCTTAAAAACTTATTACTTAACAACTGAACAGTTTACAACAGTGCTGGAAAGGCACAGATCAAATGGACCCGTCTGTACTTGTCTGTAGCTGGACAATTTATAACACTAAAGATCCAATCTCATGGAATCATAGTTCAGTGAATAACAATTGACTAGAAATTGGCAGGTTTCTGACACAAGCAGAGTTTGCCATTCTGCTCCATCAAACGTTGAGCCTGCATTCACCACAATGCGATACATCCCTGATTCTCCTCCAACACTTGCTGCTTTCCCATGTAGGTTCATGATTGCTACTCAATAAACATTAATATATGGAGCAGGGGACGTGTGAGAGAGTAAATCTACAAAGAGAACAAAATCCAATTACCTCCTAGTAGCGCGAGTATCACATATAGGATCGTGAACTCGCACAGGCTAGGTAATTGTCAGGGGACAATGAATCTTTCTGCATGGAAGCCTGAGGTAATTCTCCAACAGCGGGAGTCCATGTGCATGTACATCACTGCTGTCAATTTATTTAAGTCAGCTGATGTCCATTAAGGGTGAAGGTGAATGGTGAGTACTGGCTCAGTCTAGTACAGCCTCTCTTCCCAGGAGAGCGCCCAAGCATCTGGCCTAATATGGTCTCCGACTGATGATGCCGCCACGTATGCGGCTGCAAGTGAGACCTCTAATGAAATCTAGATGTGTCACTATTGATAACTCATTGAGCACACAAAGGGCAAAAACTCACTCAGTGACTGGTATTGTGGGTTGGTTACTGTAGCAACAACAACAGTTTGAATGGGATTTTAGAAATATTGAGCTTCATGCTGAATCCAAATGCTACTGTTGTCCTTTAGCTGTTCAGTATGTCACTCAGCATCCAGAGAAAGAGGGGCTCGGTAGTCTGGAAAATTAGAACACAGCAGCTGGAACTATGGTTGTATCAGTTAATATTCATGTTCTACACAATCCCAAGTGACTAATTTAACACACCTGATCAAATCAATAATTTACACAGGGACCATAGCGGACAGGAAGGAAATGAGAAAAAGAACTAAACCTTGGTCAGTCTGATCCTTGGCACCTTTAACAGCGGGTGTAAAGCCCAGCAGACTTAACAGGGACCGAACACCAACATGCATACTGGGACCAAATTTCAGCTGCTCCCAGTTGGAAGCCCCACTTATTGTAAATGTAAACCCAAAGGAAGTCACCCACCCACAGCATTTGAGAATACCTCTTGTTTTGTTACTTTAGCCTTAAACACCCTGCAAACACACTGCTGAATGTAACAGAAAAGATGTCAGTCAGCTGAGCCAGAGTTGACTGCAGCAGAGCAGGAAAAATTCAGGCCCCTGGCACTTAAAATTAAAGATAACCATATGTTCACACAAATACAAAACTAGTTGGCTGTATCAAGCCTTCGGTCAATCTGGGGGTGTGCTGTATTCAGCACATAGTTTAAACACTGACCGGACAGTTGTTTTCTGACATATCCACCGTACTATGTACTGTTATGTATGTCAATGATTTGTTTCCACATGTCATTCTTATTTTTTATGTCCCAGTACCTTGTCAAAGATTTGTCATAAAGAACTGATAATCTGGTAACTGTGGTAATAACCTTTTCCTCCATTTAGTTTAACATTCCTTCACATAGAAGAGCAGAGGAGTATAGAAGTCTGTGCTTCACCTTGTGCTGGAATCAAAATGATCATGGTGTTGCACACATGCCTCAGAGGATATACTGTATGTGCTCTGAATCAACACAGACTATTTAGCCTGCACAGTGTTGTTGCCTGGTGCCTCCGTCCAAGTCTATTATAACTGCTCATTGCCACAGTCAAGTGAAAACCTTGTATCTCCCAAATATCAGCTCATCCAGAACTACAGTAATAAAAGAGGCCACGGTTTCAGACACTGACACTTGAGACACACTGTTTCTGATACAATGTTGAAATGGTTCGTACACTCAAAGAGTTGTCAATATTTTCAACCTAGAGAGAACCATGTAATCCTACACCTCCAGCCAAAAGTGGAAATCAGAAGAACTAGAGCTATGAGGTTTGCATACAGCAGCAGCAGCATTACATCAACATCATGTGGGTGGAAAATGCAGAGCAAAGAAATGAGTTGCTGTATGAACTACTCCATCAATCTTAGTGCATTCTGCTTAAGTAATCCTACACAACCACAACGCATCAAACAAGATGCTTTGTGGCTGCTTCAGTGACTCTTCAGGCTTTGAATCAATCCAGTTATGACACCTGGATTAGTTTGCTTGATGAAAGTCACACTAGGTCACAATAATTTATGCGATTATTTTAAAAGTCCTCTATGACAAAATAAAGCATTCTTGCTGCTGTATTGAGACCAAAAGTTCTGGATTGTCAGAGCGTTGGAAAATCATTTATATGTACCAAAAAACATCTCTAACAGCATCAAAGTTCAGTAGAAACTGTTTAGTTTTGTATATTCATCGCCCATGCATCCACCTATCCAGCCTCAGTCAACATTCAAACTCTACATTCAAAGACTGCTACACGCCAGAGCATTCGCTCTGCCATCACATAACACAGAGCAGACAGGTACATCCAGAGGGTGAAGAGGATCAGTCATTAACTCACCCTTTTCTGGTCCTCCAAGCCGTGCAGCACAGGTTTCCTTCTCGGGTGCTGTTGTGGACTAGCCTCTGCTCCTGCTTCCATCTTCCCATAAGTGAGTGAGTACTCAGGATATCCCACAGCTAAATATCCAGCCTTTACAGCAGGCCTTTTTGGGAATGAAGGGAAATACCTGCTCAAAGTATTTCAGTCCCCTTCCCACTTGGTTTCCAGTTGCGGTGCATGAATGTCTATCCAAAAATAGGAAAAACTGCGTGTCCATCAACTTTACTTTATGAAAAAGATGCTGCCCAATCTCTGTGGGGATCTGACCTCAGCCACACTATGTGCGTCAGTCATATCGTTTCTTGATGTTTTCTCTTTGCACTTCCTGGTCCCAAGCGACTGGCCTGAGGTGAGCATCAGGGCAGAGAAACGGAACCAGCGATAACCAGGACAGGTCTCTCTCCCAAAAGCATCACAGCTGCTAAGGAATTCTGATCTTAAAGGAGAATAAGATCACCATAATCCTCTCTACTGCCTGACATTTAATTTGTCTACCACTGGAAGGGATGTGAGCAGGCTTCAGTTTCTATGCAGCAAAATGAGACTTCGGTTTTCCGGACAGCACAGCAACATTAAAAAAAAGGCAACAAAAAATGTACAGAAAAAGCATATGTGTAAAATCTGGTGTCACTCACAGTTCTGAGGTCAAGTGTGGTATCCAGTGAACAGATGCTTATATTAAAAAAGAAAGCAGAGTTAAATTGAAGCATTAAAGCAGAGGCTGTGGTGTCAAAATACTTGAGACACAGTATACTATTATACAGACAACCTTCATACAACAGACAAACCATATCTGGTGAGAAACATGTCTGAATCATCTCCTCTTGAATTGCAAGTTATTTAAAAGATGAAACTCTTTGTTACTGTAAACAAATCAAATGATAATAGTCCAATAGTCCATCTATCAACACTTTGAGTTCCCCAGCGTATTTGTTCCTACTTAACACATAAGTCTTTTAAGATGGGTCATAATATGTATAGTTTTATCTTTTAAAAAGGGCTGGGCAATTTCCTTAAACAGTTGGGCTCTGCAGTTTTGAGGAGATCTTGTGCATTTTGTGACTATTTTCAGCTGCGGATTAGGCTAAAACACATTTAATGTTCTTACTATATGATGGGGTATGGATTGACTCAAAACAAAAACTCAGGTACATGACTCCCAGTGAAACTTTCTGGTCCACTGATGTGTTTGTAATACGTTTTGAATGACAGCTACAGTCTACGGCAGGGAGGAATAAGATACAGTCTAATATACTGTAAGCTATAATCATGTTAGACACGGAACACTCGTGGTTTTTTTGTTTTTGTTTTGTTTTTTTGTTTGTTTTTTTTTGTTTGTTTGTTTTGTTTTGCTTTAGTCTTTTTATGGGATTTGTTGACACTGAGAAAAATCTAGAATATCACCCGACTTAGGCTATTCTTTAAATGCTGCGAGGTACCATTTATACATATTGCATTTAAAAAAACATTTCCGAAAGAAACTGCTTTACAAAGCGCCATCTAATTGCTGCAGGTGAGGGCTTTTCACTATTGACGCTATGAAAAACACTTCTTAAAACACACTAACTTTTTTGTAGGTCATAGACTTGCTATCGTGCTATGCAGTTCTGAGAAGCTGCAGTAAATGTGGATTTTTAGCCCACGTCTGAGAACCAACACTAACTCAAGAGTTACAATCTGGAACAAATTGCTGAACGAAGGTCTGAGCTACTGCAGCATCCCTGCAGGAGCGTCTGTGAGCCCTCATAGGATGCCTGGCAGCCTGGCTACTACTCTGAGCTTTCTGGAAATTGTTCGTAATTGCCTAAATTAAAGTACCAAAAACAAATTACGAAGAGAAACAAATACTCGAAATGATGCTCACCCAGCACTTATCGTTTTCTTTCCTTCTCGCGGAGACGGCCCCTGCCTCGTGAGTAGCGGTGGCCGCTCTTCAGGCTGCAAGCGGTGCAGCCAGCTGGTGCATTCACGTCCTGTCGGAGAAAGCGCACACATGTCAAGTCTAATAACGTTGCAACTTCAGGTTCTCTTGGGTTTTCTTTGCAGAAAAAAACTCTCTTTTTAATATTGCTTACAAGCCTTTTTACAATATTGCATTTAACGTTTTTATTGTTATCACTTAACTTTAAGGTTATTGTTTATTTGATCGCGTTTAGTGTTTCTAGACAGCTTATTTCCTCTACTGGCTGTTTCAGCCCTCTGTATTTTGTAATGTCATTTGTGACTTGGCTGACCTCTCTATCTGTACCTGTGTTATTAGTACAATAACTGTTATAGCTAATAGCGTTAAAAAAAAGGTTAATGCCCTATTTGTAGACCACAATCATTACCAAAATCGAAGCAAATATATTGTTTATTGTTATCCACTGAGTGTTTTTCTGATACCCATGGGTTCATTTTTTGTCAACCTCTATAACTTGCAGGAGCCTATACCTACTTACCCAATGTGAGTGGGTGGTCTATTTTCTCAGTGGTACCTGAAGGCAGCACAGTTTCCCACTCGCTTTCTCTCTCCCATCCGTAACATTACGTCACTGGCTGCTTCAGGCTCCGCTGTTCTCTCCCAACATCCTTGAAGGCGCTCGTCGATTTCCATGGCGACTCCTGGTAAGCAGAGCTTTACCGCCACCTAGTGCCGAAACACAGACATGTCAATGATAAGAAGTGGAGCCACTACAACCGTATTCTGTTGTGGGCCCATTTACTACCATTTTAATTGAGTATTTTCATTGTATAATATTTTCTACTTCTACTCACTACAGTTCACAAGCACAATTTGTCCTTTTCCCACAACATTTATTGGACAACTGTAGTTAGCCTACTGGTTACTTTGCAGATGTATAAATAGTATAGTTTATTCTTTATTGATTGAAAATAACATACTAAACAGTAGTATATAAGTTAATTAAGATTAGCTCCCAATTGCTGTTGAGCTCCCGATGACCCTGAGCAGTTGACACATTGTCTGCTCAGCAGGGACGACCCAAGTCTTTATGGGGCCCTAAGCAAAATTTGTCCTCTAAATGTCCTCTGTTGTGGCATTACTTTTTTGCTTTCCCACATAATCTAACAAACAAACTGTGCTTGCATCAAAATGCAGTTAATGGCCATTACAGTGCACATATGCATAAATAAGCTCTCTTGGGTTCATATTTCATGCACTCCTGTGTCTTATGATTATACTGTAAATTTTTATATTAATCTGGTTCTGAAAAGTAGTAACTAACATTATAAAATAAATGTAGTAGAGTAAAAAGTAAAAAAAATATAAAAATATTTGCCTCTAAAATGTAGTGAAGTCAAAGCAAGAAGTAGCACAAAACCAAAAATACTCTAGTAAAGTATTGATACCTCAAAATTGTACTTAAGTACAGTACTTGAGTGAATGTACTAAGTTACTTCTCACCACTGCAAACTGGGTGTGTGTGTTTTATCCTCCACTACATCACTGGTTAGCAGGATAAAGGCGCCCTCTTGTGTTGTGCACGAGTTTTCAGATTTTACTTTTAACCTGTGTATGTTTGCTGCAGGAAGACATGAAAAAACCTCACTGAGCCTTTGGCAGCTTCAAACAACATCAGCACAGAGAAACTGAAACATCTGTAGCATCAAAGTGCAGCAACATTGATGCTGTGTTCAGATCGTGTGTGAAAGGTGGTAGATAAAGTTTCCAGGATACAAATATTATTCACATCAGCTTTCAGCTGTGAATGAAATCCTGGGATGAAGACGGACTTGGAAAAAAACTGCTTTTATTATGAAAACTGTTTCTTCACACATTACATTAGTCAAGTCTGTTAAATGACTCATTTAGTTACTACATGTCAGTGTAATGACAGATTTCTTTAGATGTTTACAAAGTCACACGAACAAAATATCTGTGATAAAGGAAAGTCTGGTGATTTCTCTGGAGGAGACCAACAATACAAAATACAACAGTGCAGATATTCAACCAACATTTAGAGCACAGGGAAGTTTACATGTGCATATGCAGAAATGCCAGTTTGGGCTTTAAGCAACAAACTTGGAAAAATATTAAGTTTAGCTTTACAATAAAGATTTTAACGCAGTACATTTGAAATAACTTCAGCCTATTTGAGTTTACAGAACTCAGCAGTGTCTCAGTGGCTGAGTGAATGTGGTCTGGACTCTGCGGAGGAGAGTCATAGTTTCAGAGACGCTGTAGGAGGATAGCATACCTGCTCTGTGATCCAGATACACTCCAAGTCTGGAGGGCCGAGGACCTGAAATGGGAGTTTTAATGCTGTTGTACAAAAAAAAATTATAGCTGTTTTGGTGATAATCTAATGCCCAAGATCTGTCTTTGCCTCCAAATGCACTTTCATTCAGCCACTCTGTTCTGCTGATGTTCTTGCATGCAACTGCTGCAATAACTCCTGTCCCGTTCCACTCCACCTCCCAGTAACAACATCCAGTCAGACTCTCTCCACTCAGGACCTGAAAATATATAGTGAATCTGTCTCTCTGTCTAAAATAAGACAGTTGTTGACTCATTAATGCTGTTTTTCTTGTTCCCTCAGATAATAACAGATATGCGTTTGCTGGATTTGGATCCAGTATGTTTTCATGTGAATCTTTTAAGATTCCAGCTCTGGTCCTGAGCTCTGCTGATGATCCTCTTCAGTCAGTGACAGTGACATGTTTGTCCACATGTCCCTCGGAATGTCCTGTAGTTGATCTCTGACCTCTAACACAGCTGCTGTCACATCCTCAAACTAGCTCAGAGGATGGATATCGATGTTGGATGAGTGTGTAGATTGAGTGGTGACAGTGAGGGGTAGTTGTATAGAAACCATGTGTGATGCTCTGTGTGTGAGAGACCAGCATATTTCCTCTTCCGCTCACTGATCTCCTGATCCAGCTTCTCTTACTTCACTTCTCGACTCACCCCAGTTTCCTGCTGGGATCTGATCTGCTGCTTCACATCAGAGCATCTTTTCTCCATCAGACAGATCAGCTCAGTGAAGATCTGCTCACTGTCCTCCGCTGCTTTATCAGCAGAGCAACTGATAGCCTCCAGCTACTGCTGAAGCACTTTTACATCTTTCTCCCTGGCCTGGATTTGTCGTCGACTCCCCTCAAGCTTCCTCTGCCTCTCAGTCCTTTCTGCTGCAACTAAGATTGTGTCATGGTGTTTATGTTCATCCACAGAGCAGGGATAAGATACACTGTGGATCACTGCGGCAGAACTTCTCCCTCAACTTACTGTGACTAGATCAGATGTTCTCCTGGAGCTTCTTGGAGGGTTCGTCCAGCTTTTGTTTCTGTAGTGGAGCTGCATCATAGTGAGGCTGGAGGTGTTTCATACAGTAAAAGGCTGGACAGACCAGACAGAACCTGAGGGCTTTCGGTTTCCTCCCAGTGCAATGTTGCAAGCCATATTTTCAGGTCCAGCAGAGCAGTGATCAGCAGGAGCAGCTCAGAGTCCTCCTTCATTTCCACCACTAAAACTGCTAACATGGTGCTTTTCACCAGGACGGGCCTTGGTATGAAGATCTGCCTGCAGTGAAGTTGGCTGTGGGTTTTCTCCTCATCCTTTTCATTCCAGAAGCTTTTACTACAGTTCATGCAGTAGCTGTGTCCACAGGGAAGTCACTGGATCCTTCAGTAGATCCAGAAAAATGGAGCAAGAGAAGTCTTCCTGGTTCAGTTGAACTCCTTTTGGCACCATTTCGCCTCTCAGTGGTAATGGCTGAGTTCCGCTTTCTGACAAGTTAAACTAGATTGAGCTCTGTTTTACACAACATGTTTCTGCAGTGAATGGGGCCTGTCAGCTCTTGCACTTCACCACATCATCTTCAAACTGTACATCTGAAGGGGAGGGAACTGGGAAATATATGGACAGAGTGGAGCTGCGGCATCTGAGAGAAGAGGGGAGCTCTGAGGGACACACTGTGTGATTAACCTTTTTGTTACAGTAGTAGAAAGACTCGTCAACCCATTGTTAAATTCTGCTTGGGATCTTTGCCATTGGACATGGCTTTTCAAAGTTACCTCTTTTGTTCTTAAATTTGGTTTATTTAAGTTTAATGAGAACAATGGAAATTCAGTAGATGAAAAATGATAATGATAATCACTTTTACTGGCCAAGCATGTTATTCTCACAAGGAACCTGTCTCCCACACAGAACCACGGCAGCCATCTGCTGCACCAGCTCTCACACACACACACACACAGATGGTGGCACTGTCCCTGCAGGGCGCTGGCCTGGCCTTCGGGAGCAACTTGGGGTTCAGTGCCTTGCTCAAGGACACACTGACATGTGGACTGGGGAAAATGGGAATAGAACCACCAACCTTACGGTTAGGGAATGACCACTCTAAGAACCTCTTAAAATAATATTTTTGATTTTTAAATGTCATCCATTACTTATTTTTGAAGAATATACACTTCAAAATATAAATGTTTATATTACTTTGATACATTTAAACAATCTAATCAATGTTTCTTTGAAACATTCCTCCAGACATGAACGCAACAGATCATTTGCCTGTGAACTTAAGATGACATGTTTATTGGCCAGTCTTGAAAAATTGTTTTCAATTTTTATTTTGCTAACAATGCATATTTCTTATGATTCAGCAAGCCTTTGGACTCACTCACACAACTTAATGAAACGTATCTAACTGGCAGTTATGTTTACAATTCATAGAAACCTTTTTCTTTTCGCCGCTCATTTTTGCATTGCATAACTTAGTTAACTGAATTCTTTTTCACCATTTCTTGCAGACCAAGTGAGCAATTGATAGTATTAAAAGGAAATCGCAAGTTTAACAGCTAAAACTTTGATGAACCTTGTTTATTTTATTTCTTTTTGGATGTAATCTCAGAAGTAAATTTACCAGCATGACCCCAAAGCCACATTTTATTTCTCTCATTGTGTAAAGTTCATTTTGCAAAATAAATCTCATCTCACTGCAGTTTTAGACAAACATTATATTCAATTGGATTCAATATGCTCAGCCATTTTGGCACATTCCACATTTGTGCTTGTGACATATAAAACATTTTTTACTTGGATTTTTAAAAATCATTCAATCTTTATGCTTTGCATTTCTTTTTCTGGTCCTTATTAACCTTAAGGATACACCGTTTTGCATTTCACCGCCCACTTCCCTGTTTAAATCTTGGAACATTTTTTGTTATGTTGGTGTGAGGATCAAACTATTCTTAGCAACACATTTGACCAAATTAATATGACAAATTGTTTGAATGTGCCAATTTCAAAGTGACCCCTCTTCTTCACATAAAGTATGACCGAGTGGAAATCAAATGCTTTATAACTATGAGTCTTGTGCCACATTTGAATACAAGAAATCTTTACAAAAATAACTCAGTATAACACATCTTTATGATAAACTTTAGTAATTTACCTAAAACTGTGATGTATTTTCCCCCGTTAATGAAGACAATTCATGTTTCTGTGATAACAAGAATGTTTATTAGTTGATGTCCAAGTCAGGCTGGAAAATACATATAACTGTCCTGTGTATGGCTCCTGTGTGTCAGCTTTCACCTGCAGAGGAAAGTACATGTTAAATCGTACCTGGGAGGGAGCTAAAAAGCAAGTTTTTTACAAGAAGATGAAAGCACTAAATTACCACTTTTCCAGATTAAAAGAGCAAGGCTTTAAAATGAAGAGTGGCACAGAGACTGCAGTGTGTTCTTTGTTCCATAAAGGGCTGGAAACTCCCACCTGGTTGGATTTAACTAACGCTTCTGTATTATTTTAATTAAGCACAGTAAACTGTCAGGTTCCTCTGTGCATAAATCAGCCTCCTAATGTTTTCAAAACCTTTCCAGTTGTGCAATGCTGAGAGTCAAATCTAGAAAGTGTAAGAAGCCAAACAATTCAGTGTTTCTCACCTTGCATTAGAGTCCGAGTTCAGGAATAACTCAACATATCTTTCTCCTGAAAAACAGTGATGGTTCAAATGCTGAGTCATATTCACACTGCAATATATATATATATATTTATTGCAACATATTCATACAATGGCACCAATTTAATAGCTATAACAGAAAAAAGAGTGGGTGTTATAGAAACTAATGACCCAGAGATGATCTGCTGACAGTAAATATTCAGAGATCTACCAATATTTTTCTGGAATGTCAGTTTAATAAAAAAAAACAAAAACAACATACAGCAAGTATATTTATACCTCCACCGGGGCTGCACAAGGTTTCAAATTTGTTATTTAAAGAATAGAAGATGTTATAATCCAAAATAAAACATGCATCAAATGGACACCTGGTGGCAGACCAAACTCATTTTTAAGTCTCATATTGTCAAGATATCAAGATAAAACACAAAATGACTCAGTGATGTTCACTGGGTTTTGATATTTTTATCATGTTGTAGTTCCAGCTATAAGCAAATGTCATCAGCTTTATATGTGCACCCATAATTAAACTGGCTGTCAAACCAACCAACACGCAGGAGAGAAAACCTAACCATGGGCATGTGTACTGACGATGACTACAATTACTACCTCTCTGTGGAAACAAGGAGGCCACAGAAATACTTGCTCAACATCCTGATAAACAGCAAATATCTGACAGTGCACAACCTTCATACTGAGTCCAGCGTCAAGGTCAATGAATGAATGTATGCCTCGGATAAAAATTCCAGTTTTTGAACATCAGCTGGTCCTGAGCACTCTACTCTTTATATGTAGGGTCATTCTGATTATAACATTGTGATTTTTAGTTCTTTAAAGCTGGTTTAAAATTGTTATGGAGCTGTTGTCAGAGAAAGGAACCCATACACCTGCTGAAGTGCTGGTATAAACCTATGAGATCCAAATAGCTTTTATAATGAAACAATGGTGAGATGGCTGTGATTTTCAATGAGAGCATGCAGGTTAATGAGATACTGTTATAATCTGTTGCTGTAATCTCAAAATTTTACCTATGTATACTCACACACAAAATATAAAACAAAAGTTTGTACACAGAACCTAAGCTAAGAAATTCTGACTTTTAAAGACCAGTGGGGGCAGAACATACAGTGGGTACGGAAAGTATTCAGACCCCCTTAAATTTTTCACTCTTTGTTATATTGCAGCCATATGCTAAAATCATTTAAGTTCATTTTTTCCTCATTAATGTACACACAGCACCCCATATTGACAGAAAAACACAGAATTTTTGACATTTTTGCAGATTTATTAAAAAAGAAAAACTGAAATATCACATGGTCATAAGTATTCAGACCCTTTGCTCAGTATTTAGTAGAAGCACCCTTTTGAGCTAATACAGCCATGAGTCTTTTTGGGAATGATGCAACAAGTTTTTCACACCTGCATTTGGGGATCCTCTGCCATTCCTCCTTGCAGATCCTCTCCAGTTCTGTCAGGTTGGATGGTAAACATTGGTGGACAGCCATTTTCAGGTCTCTCCAGAGATGCTCAATTGGGTTTAAGTCAGGGCTCTGGCTGGGCCATTCAAGAACAGTCACAGAGTTGTTGTGAAGCCACTCCTTCGTTATTTTAGCTGTGTGCTTAGGGTCATTGTCTTGTTGGAAGGTGAACCTTCGCCCCAGTCTGAGGTCCTGAGCACTCTGGAGAAGGTTTTCGTCCAGGATATCCCTGTACTTGGCCGCATTCATCCTTCCCTCGAGTGCAACCAGTCATCCTGTCCCTGCAGCTGAAAAACACCCCCATAGCAGGAGGCTGCCACCACCATGCTTCGTTGTTGGGACTGTATTGGACAGGTGATGAGCAGTGCCTGGTTTTCTCCACACATACCGCTTAGAATTAAGGCCAAAAAGTTCTATCTTGGTCTCATCAGACCAGAGAATCTTATTTCTCACCATCTTGGAGTCCTTCAGGTGTTTTTTAGCAAACTCCATGCCCCCGATAGCTCAGTTTGGCCGGATGGCCAGCTCTAGGAAGGGTTCTGGTCGTCCCAAATGTCTTCCATTTAAGGATTATGGAGGCCCCTGTGCTCTTAGGAACCTTAAGTGCAGCAGAATTTTTTTTTGTAACCTTGGCCAGATCTGTGCTTTGCCACAATTCTGTCTCTGAGCTCTTCAGGCAGTTCCTTTGACCTCATGATTCTCATTTGCTCTGACATGCACTGTGAGCTGTAGGGTCTTATATAGACAGGTGTGTGGCTTTTCCTAATCACGTCCAATCAGTATAATCAAACACAGCTGGACTCAAATGAAGGTGTAGAACCATCTCTGGGATGATCAGAAGAAATGGACAGCACCTAAGTTAAATATATGAGTGTCACAGCAAAGGGTCTGAATACTTATGACCATGTGATATTTCAGTTTTTCTTTTTTAATAAATCTGCAAAAATGTCAAAAATTCTGTGTCTTTCTGTCAATATGGGGTGCTGTGTGTACATTGAGGAAAAAAATGAACTTAAATGATTTTAGCATATGGCTGCAATATAACAAAGAGTGAAAAATTTAAGGGGGTCTGAATACTTTCCGTACCCACTGTATAATATGACATTTAAAAGATGAGGATGTCATTTTGACAACTTTTGTGATTAACTACAGAACTCGATTTGCTGTTTGAAGATCGTTTAAATCAAGCTGCTTTTAAAGAAACTAATGATTCAATTTCATTACAGGCTTATAATTATCATGTAAAGGTGTCTTGCATGTCCACTGGGGAGAACCTCACCAGTCACACACCGACATCACTCGCAGCCTGAACATATTCACTTCAGTTGTTTGATACTCATGAAAGTGTGGAAAACTGGAAACATTGCTAAGGACGATGTAGAACAGACATCTAACAGGATGTTAGTTTGAATGAGTCAAACCTCATTTGAAGAGCAGGCCACTGGCGTTAAAACCTCTAACACTCTCACCTATGTGCCGTCTGTCTCTGGACATGGCAGCCACGGCATCCTTGTGGCAGTTGAAGTAAACATCAGCCTCTCCGTTCGGCCTCCCGTCAGGGCTGCAGTCAATCAGGATCTTAGACACGATTAGAGGGGAGAAAAACTGCAGGAGGAAAAAAAACATGTTACAGAGTCGTGTCCAACTGTCCTCTGATTCACACAACCAGCTTCAAGTTCTCAGCCCATTCGTTATCTTAAATTTTACCTTCACAATGTCTTCTCCGGACACCCAGAAAGGAAGACCTCTCATATGGACATAGTGCAGCGGCACAGTGGTGCTCTGAAGGGACGCTGGTGGAGCAGAGGCTACACCATGAGAAACAGTGTTTAGTGGCTAAAGCAGCACATTTGTTCCCACAGAGCAAAAACGACAGTTATCTTTAAAAGTTCTCCTCACTTTACCATTAGCTGATGTTTCATTTGGGCTTTGATTTCTGTATAAAATCATCTGATGAGGTTTTACCACCTGCAACAAATTTTGTTTAATGTATCGAGCAATTTAAATAGTTTACCAGAATTTTATATTTCCAAATTTCAAAAATTTCACCATAAAAAAAAAATTCATCCAGTAATAGAAGGTGAATAGAAAAATAGGGACAAAGTGTAGACGAGAGCTGATTAAGCGCCAATGTCCCTCTAAGAAAGTAACAACAGACTGACTTTATTAATACATTTCTTATCCAATTTTCACTTATGTTGTTTTATTGAGGAAGCAGAAGCCTGAAATCCCCTCACCGGCTCTGGGGTTCGTCTGTCGAGTGGATGTGGTACTGCTCACCGACCAAGGGTCGGTCCAAGGATGAGCTGGACCCGTCGTCATCATCCTCCTCCTTCCCCAAAAAGCATGAATCTCATCACTATTGCTGGGAAACACCTCGATGTATCTGAAAATATTACAAGCAGCACAAACCTGAGCAGCAACTAACAGAGCCGACCGTAAAGACCAGAGATGCTTGTGTGTCTTGAAAAAGCTTGTTGGTTTTTGAACAATAACATCTGTGACCTTCTGTTGGCGAGAAATGAGACACATTTGTGCAGGTTTAGAACCTACCTGGTTCCTATGACCGCTCTGTCTCTCTGCAGAGCTTCATCTGCTGCTGTTTGAGAAAAAAACTGCACAAAGGCCTCCCCAGTAATTCTTCCTCTGTGGTCTGTGATGATGGTGATGCCATTCTCCATTATATCCAGTCCTGCAAAATAAAGGCATATCCTGAGATTAAGTTCCTCATTAAAATATCATTTGCATTTGTTACCTGTTTTTTTAAAGGGATTTTAAGTAACCTTAGAGTGGTAAAAAATAAATAAATAAAAATCTGTTTCTTCTCCCATATCAATTTCAAACAATAAATTACATTTTTTCAAGAGACTTCATCTTGCTGAGAAAAAAAAAAAAACATGATTGAAACGGTTGAACTGTTGAACAGGTGCTACAGCATAGGGCTGGGCGGTATATCGATATATTAACTTGTATCGATATAATTTTAAACGCGGTGTAGAATTACGCAATACCGTTTATACCGCGGTATAAAGTTAAAGGACGAGACAAGAGTCTGTCCTCATCAGGCTCCCTCTCTCTCACTCACACACACCTGCACCCCGCCCACACGCTTCCACTGCGCATGCGGCCCAACCCAACCAAACCAAACACCATGACAGTACTTTAGTCAACGAGAGTTAGGCTCCAACTGTACATATGGACATTTTCTGTAGATTTAAGATAACGTTAATGCCATTGGTTGGCTGCACTGTTTATTTACACTGCACTACTTAGTCACACTCTGAATATTCTATACTTGCACATTGTGTTAGCTCATTCTGTAAATTCATTTTGAAAATAAGAAAAGTAAATGTACAGTATTATTTCACTGCACCTTATTTTATCTCATTAGTTTTGTATCTTATTATGCTGCTTATTTCAGACACTTATGTTATTTGTCATGTCTCATGCTCCATGTTATATGTATGCACCAACTCACGACAACAAATGCCTTATAATGTGAACCCCCTTCCCTTCACTTCTTTGGCAATAAACCTGTTTCTGATTATTCCTTTTAATGTGTAGGGGATGCTGCAATAGGTAGAGGTGTGACCCGCCACATCCTCTCATCAACCATGTCCAAACTCAAACAGGGATTCAAAATGAACTTTGGTATGGCTTTTTAATTGTATTTATTAAGAGAATCTATCAGTTTGATATTCAGTTCTTCTATACAAATAAAGTGAATATTATTGTCATTAGCATATGCACATATTATAAGTTTCTTGACACAGATGTACAGTACATGATGTCGAGCAAAAAAACATAATTTATAAACGGTGTCACAAAGAAGTTACATCCAAATGTGGAAGCACAACAAATCTGTACCACCATTTACAGCAATGCCACAAACTCCAGTAGGAGGAGTACATGAAACTTCAGCATGCTGCAGCCACTACTCCCACAACATCTAAGCCACCAGAATTAAAGTCCTCCTGCCTGCCGTCCACCTCGACACAAAGCCAGCGTGGTGTGACGTACAAAAAAAATAAGTGCGAAGTGGCATGAAATTACAAATGCAGTAGCATACCGTATTGCAAAGGACATGACCCCTATTGCCACAGTGGAGCAAGATGGATTCAAAAAACTACTGAAAGCACTTGACCCTAGGTACCAGTTGCCCTCGCGCAAGTATTTTGCACGAGAGGTGCTGCCAGAAATGTATACGGATGTCCGGAAGACACTTAACGGCCGGCTGGATAACGTGACAAATTTCGGACTAACTACAGATCTGTGGTCAAGTCGGACATGCGAGCCTTACATGAGCATGATGGCACATTTTATTGAAGACTGGGAAATTAAATCAGCGTGTCTCCAAACAAGCTATTTCCTCCGGATCACACTGGAGAACACATTGCAGAGGCCCTGAAGGACGCTCTCTTGTTCTGGAAGCTGGAAGAAAAGCGACTAGTTGCTGTTAACAACGGACAACGGAGCCAACATCGTCAAAGCAGTGGAAATGAATGGGTGGCGGAGGATGCAGTGCTTTGGTCACCGTCTTCATCTGCCTGTTGGTGAGTGGTGGTCTAATGGATTTTTGGCTTGACTGTGTTTATGGGGTGCGCAGCAACATTAAACAACATACACAAATATGGGAGTATATCATAACATTTTGTAGTCTTCTAACAGATTTTCTGGTCACCATTCGTTCTAAAACTGTTAATAAACATTCTTATAATATCACATATGCCTTTTGACTTTGAATTTAACTGAACATTGTGTACAAGGAAATACCGGGATATAAGAGGTATATCGTGACACGTAAAAATTATACCGGGATATGAATTTTGGGCCATATCGCCCAGCCCTACTACAGCAGATCAGCATGCTGAGCAGTGAAAGAATTAAACTTAATTGTCTTGCTGATGCTTTTTTGGTGAAGTATGCCACAAGAATAATTATAGGATTTCAACAATGTGTCACCTTCATAACATTTCTAATTGTGAGGTCAGTGGTACTCCCAGCATAGGCTATTTGACACAAGTGCTGCATGTTCTGTACTCTGAGGTAGCTGCTAAAACTAGCACTGTTTGCTCCTGCAGCGATATGTAGTGTGTGCGGCATTTTTCTTGTTTCTGTGTCATTAAGAAGACATGTTTGTAAGCTGGGAGGAGATTGTGCATACACACACAGAAAACATGCCAAAAATCAGTTTATGAGCGCCATATCGATTTCAGACCATTTAACGCATTCGGTTCAAATCTGTGGTTCTCAACCGGTACAGTCGTAAATCTGATTCTTATCAATTTTATGATTTGTATTGGTTTATCTTTACACCCCTATTTTCCATTTAATAATTCTATGCAGTTCGTCTGTATTTTAACAATAAATGAACTGAATTTTTATAGAGAATTGCAAGAATAAACTTAACAAAAGCAGATGCAGGTGTCTAGGGTAAGTGCAATAATCCAGCAAAACACATTTTGTAAGACAGCATCGTATCAAGTCACACTTCAGGGGAATAACATGCATCCGGTGTTTTCACTAAATCCTGAGGTGCGAGGACTCTGAGGCAGTTTACCTGAAAAAAACTGGATGATGTCGGCCTCAGTGCAGGAGAAGGGGAGGCCTCGCAGCCGCACCACCCCGTTCCCAGCTGGAGCCAGGGCGGCTTTCTTCAGGATGGCTTCAGCGTCGCTGTTTGTCACTTCATACACTGCAAACATAGAAAGAGCATGACATCTGTTTTTAAGATTTAAAGGACAGGACTGTCCCTTGTTTATTGTACAACTAATAACTTTGTCATGTCTGTTATTGCTGATGTCTGCTTTAAGAAGTGCTTTGGTATATTAGAATATGTTGCACTGATTTGTGATTCTTTTTTTTTGTTACTTAAAACAACAAAGAAAAAAACATTATCTAAGATTACATTAGCACAAATTTTTTCTATTTTGTTCCTGCATTTGCAAATTACGGCACAAACATATGTATCATAAACAGCATCAAATCCTTGCATTTGAGAAGCTGAATCCAGCAAAGCTTTGGCTTAATTACTTATTGGGCGATTAATTCTCTGTTGATTAATTGTTGCAGCGCTATTATTAATTATAGCATGAAGTCAAAACTCTTAAATTAATCACATATTTAAGCACTGTTAAGACAGTATTGCTGGACATGGTCATCTACAACAAGGAATGACAAGATCTGAATTTTACATTAATGTAAACATGAAAAGCTTCCATGCAAAACTCATTGAATGGACAGTATCAAGCATTTTAATTATATACATAAAAAAAAAACCACAGAGCCGCTGCTGAGCCACTGACAATCCTGAACTGCCCAAACTCAGCAGGCAAACTGAGACAAACCTTCAACATATCGTGGACCAAGGTACTGCCGGTGCTTCTCCAGAGCTTTGCTGACATCCACCTCATGCTCCATCTCAATGAAGGCTCGTCCTGATGGCCTCCCTAGTCTGTCCAGCGGGAGATGGATCCCCTTCACCCCGTCACGGATCCTACACTCTGAAACACACCACATCAAACCAGGGCAACTGTTTCAGTAGCAGTATGTGTTTTTAAGTATGACAACAATATCTACATGAACAGTTTATCAGCAAATATTCCCACACTTTTTGTATTAAATATTCCAGTCAGTATGAACATTTTAAGTAGTTTTACTGGATGGCAGAGGGCAGACAGACTTTAACAGTACAGTACCACTGTGCATGTGCCACTAAAACATTTGACTTAAAACAATATTTATGTTAATGACTTGGTGATGAAAGAGTTAAGACAAAGTTATGATGTGAGGTGAGATATTTAACAGTTCAACAATAAAGTTTACTACAGTGTGATAAACACAATAATTAAATACTAAGCACTGACATACAAGAAAAACATTGTTCAGTATAGAGTGCAGACGGGATTATAAAAAAAATACCTGAAACTAGCCATATCAGTTGGGTTTTACACCTGGAGAGAAAGCCTCACCTGAGAAGAACTGCAAGACATCCTGAGCTGAGCAAGACCACGGGAGACCTTTCACCTGCACAATGTACACCTCCTTCTTCTCTGTTTCTGAATCAGACTGATAAGCTGGAAGCGGTGGGTATTCATCATCATAAGGCGCTCCTGACTGGGAGATAACGTGTGAAATATGACCATTGAAAATATATTTTGTAAGGAGGTTTGTGCAATAATTCATTATTTTTGTGTATCATGTCTCAATGTTCTGTATTGTCAACAAGCTTAGATATGGAAATATAGTGGATCACAGTTTCATGTGAAATGCAATAATTATGTTTACACGAATGTGTCGTATTATAAATATTTGACAACATTACAGAATAAATTGCATCTTTTTGGTTAAACATTAAAACACCATCATGGCCAGATAAACTAATTACAGGACAAGACAGCAGATGCTGTTAATCACCACCTGGTTGACATGGTTGACCGTGGCTTTCGTATAGACAGACTTTGTAACACTGGCTTCTAGAAGAAGTTGATTTTAAAATTATTTGTCTATTAGAACACAAAGTGTACAGTTTACTGGATCATCCTCTTCCCTCCTCCCTGTATCAAAGGCATGCCACAGAGTTCCATATTGGGATAATTGAAAGAATGAAGTCATTGTTTCTCTCTCTCTCGCTACACACACATATAACTTATCAAATGCCTTATTTAATTTTTATTTTTTATATGCAATTATACATTGTTCACCCCCCTCAGTAGTACAGGCATTTGAATTCCTACAGTCTGCTTTCAATGCTGTCTGGTATCACTGACCTCAACTCAAGTTGGTACTAAATGCTGATAAATCCAAATTTGTTACTTTCAAATGGTAAGAAGTTTACATTGAATTTTCCTAAGATCACAGATGCACAAGGGATTGAAATACAAAAGGTCACAACATATAAGTATTATTATTATTAATCAGAACTTGTCATTCAGTCCACACACTGAAAACCTTGCCCCTAAGCTCTACGTTTCATTGTAGTTCCTCCGTGCCTCTATTGGTTGTTTTACATATTTTTGTAAACATTTTGTCTTTCTTTCAGTGGCTTTGTACATATTTGTAGTTGTTTTGCATCTATTCTTTCGGGAGGAACTGACAGACAGAGGAGCGCAGCTCTCTGAGGTCAGTTCCTAAGACTTTCACAAATAAGCTTTTAATACTGTGTCTGGAGGCTGCAGTTTCACACTTCTTCTCAGGGTTCTAACTTAGTAGAATGTGAGCACGCTGACACAAAACACACATTTTAAGATCCAGTGTGCCTTCTACCCGAAGACCTCACTATCTCTGATGTCCGTCCAGAATATTCTGGGGCTTCTTGTAGTAGTTCTGCAGCTTCTTGACTGACTTTAAAACAGAGAGGACAATAGTCTCTTCTCTGGTCTAACAGCCCCAGGGACCAGCTCAGTAATCCATCCATGATAAGATATACACATAGACCACACATTCACCCCTATAAAAAAAAAGTCAGTGAACCCACAGAGAGCTCTTCACTAACCTTTGTACAGAAACCGCACTGACTGGATGTCACTATTGACGAAAGCTCACGACACACTACCCTGGCCGTGGATGTCCACATTCGGTGTTGAATGAACCCACACCTGACTGACGGCGCAGCACTTTTCATTGTCATACCTGCTGGTAACGTTAGCTGTTTGACTGCGACACACCGCTGAATCAGGCACAACAAAAACTTGCTGTTAAAAGACATTTTAGCCAAACCGAACCGGAAGTCTTATTATTGCTAGCTATCGAACAGCAGTGTTCTGGACAGAAATAGGTCGATATCTGAGTTTAAAGTCCGTTAGCTCCGTCAGCCACTAGCTTAAAATAAAGCTCAGGAGCTTAGCTGACTGACTCACGTGGGCCAAGGACAGCGCTCAAGAGTTTACTAAGGTAGCAGCAGTACGTCCGGGTTGACTTTTCAGAATAAAAGTTTGAACACCGTTAATAAGGTAACTATTATAACGTCGGCTGGGTTAGAAGAAGGATTCGGACACCAAAACTGCCTTTTGTGCTCAGGGGAGGCGCTCTTTCATTACACACATAGCCAGGACATACACAGCAGACAGCGTCGTCGTCATCAGCAACAAAACACACCGAACACACTACAGTATATATATATATGTATATGTATATATATATATATGTAATAAGAAATGTTAATATTTTGTCGGCTGGTGTGTGTTGTAGGCCCTTTTGCTGTTCGAATCCGATGTTGAAGGAATTTTTTTTAATAAAAAATAGCAACATTT